TTTTTTTTTTATAGTTCAATTTATAATTTCTTTTTTCAATTGAATTACTCAGATGAAGAAGAGGAAGATGAGCAGGCTTTTCAAACTGACACGCTTCTCACACCTGGACCTTCGTCTTCTTCACACGTGGTATATACTCGGAGGAGGGGGTCTAGACCGCGCAAACCTACACAACCATTCACTCCTTCCTAGTTAGTTGTGTTGAATTTGTTGATTTTGTGTTTATTTTGAATTGTTGGATTGTATGTATAAACCGAATTATATCGTTTTGTATATATTGTTTGTTCGGCAAATTATTGTGTTTCATTTGTTTGTTCGAAGAATTATGGTATGATGGATTTGGTTGTGAGCAGGTATATTTTTTTGTTGTGAACATGTGTATTTTTTGGTTGTGAACAGGTGCATTTGATAGTGAACAGGATTTTGTATACAAACGTATTTGACTAAGAGGTTATATATTTTTAATACAAAAAACGTATTTCTTAAATACGTTTTCTATTCTATTCTTTTTAATTCAAAAACGTATTTCGTAAATACGTTCTCTGTTGACATTAAAATTAGGGCAAATATAATCAATTTGGGGCAAAATTACACAGGAAAACGTATTTAACAAATACGTTTTATGTTCCAAATTTTTTTCCCCAAATTAAATTATTTTCACGAAATGAAAAAATTGATTTTATTTATAAAACGTATTTCTTAAATACGTTTTATAATTACAAAAATAAAATTAAATTAATTTTAACATAAAAACGTATTTCTTTAATACGTTTGGTAATTTTGAAATATAAGACGTATTTAGGAAATACGTTTTTCTACAGTTTAATTATGTTAATTACGTTATTTAACTTTCGTAATATTTGTTTATTGAGAACGTATTCACTTAATACGTTTTATAATGAAAACCGTATTTGCTGAATACGGTTTACAATAAAAAACGTATTTAGTAAATACGAGCTTTCTATTTTGGTCGACTTGATTTTTTTTTCTTTCTTTTTTGTCCACTTCATTTTTTGTTTTTTTTTTAAGTAAATAAATCTTGGGTTAGTAGTATTAAAGCATCTAAGTGTGGGCGAAGGTTGAACTTTGAATCCCTTTGCACGATCGTTAGTAAAAGAAAATTTATAAGTTCAATTTTGCGAAATACAGATGTGTCAAATACCATAAATCTAACAAAAGAACCTAAAGCTCTGTTTGTTTTGAGGGATTTACTGAGAAATTTGAAATCCATATATTTCAAATTTACAAGTTCAAATCCTCATTCATGTTGGGGATGATAATGAAAGTTGGAGGATTTCAAATTCAAATACCATAAATCTAATATCTTAAGGCATAACTGCATAACCACCAATAGAAAGGCAATAAAATTTTGTAGCCCCCTGAATACAGATGAACAAGAACACAATGACGGAAAAACCAGGTGTAAAAATTGCATCTGATAACAAAAATACCAACAAACCTCAATCAAAATACCAACCACACTAAACTGCAGATTTCAAATATAGACTAGACTGCACACAATAATAAAGCAACAGAAGTGTACCAGGGAAAAGGATAAGTAGCCAACAAAGCTAAATACCTATACAAACACATTTAGAAAAACTGCCACCCGAAGTATACTGCCAAAAGGTTAGCTCAACTTCAATATCCTCATTTTTTTAAAGCAGAGGGGGAGGGATTATATTTTCTATGTCAGAAAGCACGCCCACTCAACCATTTCCCGTCAGATTTATGGCCTCTCATCCTTTGCACAATTTTGCTTCCTTTGTCGCCACCAACCAAATAGCCATTGGCATGCTTGTTATAATTACACAAACAACAGTCAAAGTGTAAAAGATTAGGGAATGACAAGGATAAAGAGCAAATTTACGCAGGACAGATCATTAATGCCGAGATCGTCTTTTTTGTTATTGTGTGCTCCGCATCGAACCACTTCTTGATACACTCCTGAAAGATAAGTTGCATTTTATTAGCAAAAAAGAGAATCACAAATGTTGTGAGGATCTTTGTGGTACTTGATATTTTCTTTGTAGAGTGCATTTACATTACATTGGTATGCAGCAGATGTATAGGATTTACCATATTGTTCTATCATTGTAAATGCAAGCAATCAAACATCATTATTCGGCATCGAGTCAGTCGACAAGGGACACTCAGAAAACTGTGTGCACATTTCTTAGAATTTTGGGATGCAGAAAAACTATAAAATCTAACACCCAACGCTTTCACACTGTCGACAGTAAATGTCATTTAATCCCTAATAGATCCATATCCATGAAAAGGGAACAACAAAAAAGTCCACAAAGTCGAGCACAATTTTGGAAGCATTTGAAATGGTCTGACGAGTGTCGGGAATCTAGTACAATGATTGGACAAAATAAGTCAATAAAAACAGGCAGATTAGTGCCATAATAAATTGCAGGGGTTCAATGTCAAAAAATAAATAAATCAACAAATCTGAACAAATCCATGTGCAGCAAGAGTCATGATTCACATTTCATAATAGAATATGTAGGCATCAGAATGCAGCATTAAATTCAAAAAAAAAAGATGATCCATATCAAAGTGAAAAAAAAAATGGGCGAGAACAAGTTTGTGAAAAACAACAAATGATTGTAATGGAATGACACTGAGAACCTAATTGAATTGAATGAGTTAGATCATAAATGACAAACTAAAAGTGGTGTACCATTTTCGTTCAGCTCAAAAAGGCAAAAAGAAGGAAAGAAAAAGGGTGTGAACGAAGCAGTTATGGCGGCAGGCCAAACAAAGTACAAAATTTTCACTAACGAACAATGGGTGAACCCCACACTTGTTGAGACAAGTTTAGGACGTGAAGTATGGAAATCGAAAAGTGGAGTTACTAGAGAAAGCTTCTGATCTAACAACCATTTGTAATGTACTCATATGAGAATCAGCCAATATATAATAATCGATAGTCAACATTGATACTTTCATCTCTTTCTTTGAGACATGGACGAAACTTTGAGATAAGGATATGTCAGCTCACGCTGCTTCATTTCGAAATTTGAAAATTTTACTTACCACTTAACTAGCAAGCTGATAATTATCGCAAGTGGACTAACGGATACTGCATTATGGCACATCATTTCCTCCCATTGTTTAAGTTGAAATTTAGTTTTGGGCATGTTGAGGTGAAGGGAAATTTTTCATCAATTCGTTTACACATCTGACAGAGCGGACAACTCCAACCACGCTAAGAATCTTGGCATCTGAACTCATGCAAACTCCATCATAGAAAAATTACTAAGTCCGTAGAAAATCCTTCTTTTTTTTTTAGAAAACCACTACATCTCGAGGTTCACGAAATTTGCAGACCTCATGTATGAGGCATTTTTGGCAGATTATAACTTGACTATATGTATTCTATCAAAAAATTCAGCACACGCTTATCCCACAAATTGACACGTATAGGTCCACTTCACTGAATTATATATTCAGAATATGGGTCTCAATCATGGAAATAAAAACAATATTATGTCTTCAGGGGGAAATCTTTGTAGGCATATTATGCAATTGAAACAAAAAAAATCATGCTATTGGACTAGCACAGTAATACATAAACAGGTATACCTTCCAGGCAGCACCTGTGAACTGACAGAACTCTTTGAATTCCCAAGTCGTTTCGCCCTATTTTCATGTTCTTTCTCCACACGCATGGCGGCCACCTCTTTCTCCATAGCAGCTACCTCTCTTCTCATCTTTTTGGCCTCAACTTCCATCGCTTTAGTCAAAGTTTCTACTTTCTTTGCTAACATCTGATTATAGATGTAAACAACAAATTATAAGCATAACAGCAAATTCAGGTAACATGAGCTATGTAGAAAGAAATTTACCTCAATCGCGTCATCCTTATCTTTAAGACTCTGATCCTTTTCAAGTCCAGCTTTCCTCAAAGAGACCACCTCCTTTTGTAACAGATCATATAACAACCCTGGCACAGTATCCTCTTTTTCTGGAACTAGTGTATCACTTGATTTTTCCTCTGGAGTTGCTTTGCATTTACTACTTTGTGTCTCAGATTCCTTAGTTCCATCACAAGACTGGCTTTGTTTGAAATTCGGTCCTAGTCCATTTAAGAGAATTTTAGCCCTGTCCGAAGATCTTGAGCCACCATCGAAAGACTTTGATGTTCCTTTTGCATGCTTCAACACTGTACTGCTACCAGAAGATCTGATTTGAAATGATGGTGATCTTTTGGGCAGAAAGCCATTGGATGTCAACTTGGAAATATTTTCAGCTCCACCGAGTGACTGTCTGCGAGAAACGCCATTTGAGCTCCTTCCATCTGGCATGCTTCGAGTTGCTGTGTTTGGTGATCTCAAAGTCTCTTCAAGAACTTTGAGTCTTAGTTGATATTTTTCCTGCATGATTCGCGATAGAATTAAAGCTTATTCAAGATTTAAGAAACTTCATAAATTGTCTGCAACAATCATCTTATTAAACAGTAAATAATGAAATAACCCATTTACTTTCAACTGGGCTTCAGATTTGGCAGTTCTCTCACTAACGGCAAGCTTGTCCTTAAGTTGCTGCATCTCGCCCTGTTACGACAAATTACATTAATTACAAGATTGTCTCATTAGAGAAATAAAGTCCATATATTTCCTCGATAACTAGAGTGATAGGTGGCACGAAAAGATACGCACTTGCAAACATCTTCTTTCCTCTAGCCATTGTTTGACAGGCATCACTTTGTCATTAGCGTCTTTCCATTCATTCGCTACGACAGTTGCCACCCTATTCGCCGTTACTTTGGCACGTGCCAGCTCCCTGTCAAGAGTTTTCCTTTCCTCCTACAAACCAAAAAACGAAAGACATTAAATTTAAAAAACAAAGATATTTCAGTATTTAATTATTTGCAATTTATTGAGTAGTTGCTACAGTAACTGAGAGTTCATTGTGGATCATTACATTCATCTCCTGAACTTTCCGCTGATAGTCACGCACAGCATTGGCAGCTGCCCCACCAGCAAGCACAGCCTCTTCAAGCTCACGTACCGTTTGGGTAAGCTTTTCAACTTCTGCAACCTTCTGCCTATGCATTTTATCCAATATCTTATTCTCTTCCTGACAAAGCAGGAAAATTCTCGTAAGGAGTAATAATAAATTAGGCAATCATAAACTTCAAAATAAAATGGCCAAAGAAATCGCTTTACCTGGCAAATTTCGATCTGCTTCATCAACTCTTGGTTCTTGTTTTGAAGATCATCCACCATAGAAGCTTTCGCTAATGCTACCTGTACAGTTCTCTCTGCTTCAAGCAGAGCAGCCTCTTTAGATTTGGTAAGCCTGTCCAATGCTTTATTATCATCCTGAAGCTTCGCTATCTAGAATAAAAATGGAAGAATTCATCTCAGTCATGCCTCAACATAGCCTTTGTGCTTCCACTAGAAGAGCAAATGAGTTAAAGGAACAAACCTCCTGTCGGGCAAGCTTGAGCTCAGCCTCCAGTGGAGCCAGAATAGCTTCAATTGGAGGCATATCATCATCCTTTTGAGCAGCATGAACTCTGCGCAGTGTTGCTTCTGCTGCAAATTGAGCTGCCATGGAGGCCTTCTTTTCATCATTGATTCTCTTAATGTCAAGATTCTGCATACAGGAATGTTTATGCACAGTGTTACCACAGTACACATCAAGTGGGAGACTAAGGAGAAGAAGTCACAGCCAGTACCTTGCTTTCTAGGAGAGATTCTGTTAATTTGAGTTTCTCCTCCACTTTTGTCAACTCATCAGTGAGCTAAAGAAAACCAAAAAAATTTACGTATTTCAAATAAATACATGTAGGTAGATTTTACAGGGAGAACTGAACACCAAAGAAAACAGGTGCAATCAAAGAAAAGGAAAAGACGCACAAGTTTGAACAAAAGAGTTACTTCCTACATGGGAGAAGTAATTGTCTTATTTTATCTGAATTATTTCATAACACCCATGAAGTTTTTTTTTCAAATAAACCCACATTCCCGACATTAAATGTCATTTTCCATATCAAGGATATCATAGTAAAATTAATGCTGGTCAGAATGGAGAACAAAGACTCACCATAAAAGGAGGCATTTTCTATATGTTTACCAGAGACAAATCAAAGCCAATCATCAAATAATCTAGTTAATTAGCCAATCATCAAATACTCTAGTTAATCAGCCAATCATCAAATACTCTAGTTAATTAGCCAATCATCAAATACTCCAGTTAATTAACAAGCACTTCTGACAATCTGGCTGTCTAGCATTTGTCGGGATCTAAGGGCCAATGAGTGTATACAACAACCACTTAATAGCGAGTATAGCATCTACTGCTCGAGTATCGTCCACAAAAACATAATGCAGATTATGACTCATGCAGTAAAAGAATAAAATAGTAAATAAATCATGATCAGGTAAGTATCTATAATAGCAGTAACACGAGCTATTTCCTAGCCCTGAGACCTGGAAACATTGACCAGTGTGAAAAATGATCGACATAATAACCTTGTCACCTTTAACTCTCACCATTGAAGTGAAAGAACTTACCCAATTCTATGCCAGTATTACTTCTTTCACGTTCAAGACTAGAATAAGAAGGATTAAGACTCCAAGCAAAGACTCGTAACTCAACATTCTAAAGAAGTCATAGAAAGTCCAATAATTAATTGTTTGGTCATGGAGAACAAAGTAGCAAATAGGTCAGCAAACCTACAAGAACCAGGCTAATTGGCAATGACAAAACTTAGAAGTCTGCAACAAAGATCGCTCTGAACTAATTAAACGTGTAATTGCAAATCCAACATGACCACCACGCTAGCACCCCTTGCCACCCTACCACCTTCCATAAATATTCAAAAAAGAGAGGAAAAATAAAAAAGGAAACAAAAAGATTAATAAAAGATGACTATATAACATAATAACCGTGCTCAGGTATGAAAACAGAAAAAGCAAAATAGAAAAATGATAAAACCTCTTCTACAGCTTTTTCCCGAAGCCTCTCTGACAATCTCAAAGCCTTGATCTGAGACTGCGCTTCCCCCAATTCCCTTTCCTTATCTGTAAACATAGAAATATCCAAGTTATTGTTTTAGCAGCAGAAAAGGGGGAAATGTTCTAGTAGAGTGCTTCAACATTTCTGTAGAACTAAATCAGGCATCCATGGGCTTCAAACAAAAACAGAATTATCTGCAGTAGTATTTTAAATTTTAAGGCAAGACACTAAACGAACGCATCAAAGCGGCAGCGATATCACATCAAATCAGGGCGGAAATCTAGTGGATCCAGCTGAGGAGACTGACCTTTGACTTCGTTCTCCAGTCGATTAAGCTCCAGCTTCACCGGATCCGAACCATGAAGCAGGTTTATAAACTCATCGGCATCGAGGCTCGGCCGTACAGACGCCCTCCGCCGCGACGACGAACCCCTGCCTCCTTCCTTGAACGACGCCGACACCGTCAGCGGTGTCGCTGTCTGCGCATTACTGCCGCTCTCTACGGGAGCCATCTCCGCCATCCCGCCGATACTTCCCTCGCCGGGAACCTCCGCCATCACTGATCAAATTGCTTTTTGCAGCGCGCATCCAATTTCCCAAAAAAAAAAAGGTATATTATTACGCCAATGTGATTAAATATCTATTGGATATTTGTGTAAATACAGGTGTAGAGAGAGAGATGGGAGGGTTCTGGAGAGATGAGTTCGAAAAACTGCAGTGGGTATATAATATGAGTGAAGATGATAAGAGTTTTTTCACTTTTTTTAAAAGAAAAGAGAGAGATTTGATTCGAGTTCAAATTGATGTGCCCTTTCCCTGTTTTATTTCTCTCTCTAGAAAATGAATAGATACATTTGTAATAGTCGCTGTCAAAGTGTGCAGTGTGCTCTGCTGAACGAGACGCTCTCCGTTAAAATTAAAAGGGTAATTGTTATTTTAGGACGTGTAATATGGAGTAATTGTGATTTTGGTATCTATTCTTTATTTATTGCGAAAATACAACTTAATTTTTACGTTTTTGCGAATTTGGTACCTAGTATTGACGTCGGTTTGCATGACTTTACGTTTCGGACTCGTTTGGGCTCGTTCGAACTCGAAATTGAGTTCCGTTTTTTTCTACGCATCGCCAACGAACTCCTCTATTCAATGATGCTTGTATGACCAAATTATTCTTGAAATACTATTCTTCCAAAGCTTAGGATCAGCACACCAAAGACGTGTTTCGCGACTTCGCGTTTTGGGCCCAATCGAGCTCGTCCAAACTTGGAATTGAGTTCCGCTTTTTTCTACATGTCGCCAAGGAACCCTTCTACTCAACCATGGTTGCCCGGTCAGTTTTCGGGCCAAATTTATTCCTCACGGGGCTTCCAACCTGCACACTAAAAACAAGATGAAAAACAAAAAAAACACACGACACAATAAACTACAAAAACAAATAAAACCCAATGAAAAGTCCTAAAACGAGGGGAAAATAGTGAGAAAAAAATAAGAAAAAACGTAAAAAAAATAGAATAAACACTTACAAAAACTCCATCACTACTAGTTCAAATTCTCCAAAAAAGCTTAACGTTTGAATTGACAAAAAATTAAAAATTAGTAGTAATGGAGTTTTGGCAAGTGTTTGTTCTTTTTTTTTTACGTTTTGGCAAGTGTTTGTCACTATTTTTTCCCCGTTTTAGAACTTTTCGTTGGGTTTTATTCGTTTTTGTAGTTTATTGTGTCGTGTGTTTTTTTTTTCTTCTTGTTTTTAGTGTGCAGGTTGGAAGCTCCATGAGGAATAAATTTGGCCCGAAAATTGATCGAAAAACCATGGTTGAGTAGAAGGGTTCGTTGGCGACATGTAGAAAAAAGCGAAACTCAATTCCATGTTTAGACGAGCTCGAACGGGCCCAAAACGCGAAGTCGTGCGAAGCACGTCTTTGATGTGCTGGTCAAAGCTTTGGGAGAATAGTATTTCAAGAATAATTTGGTCATAAAAGCATCATTGAATAGAGGGGTTCGTTGGCGACGCGTAGAAAAAAAGGAACTCAATTCTGAGTTCGAACGAGCCCAAACGAGCCCGAAACGTAAAGTCATGCAAACTGACGTCAATACTAGGTACCAAATTAGCAAAAACGTAAAGGTCAAGTTGTAATTTCGCAATAAATAAAGAATAGGTACCAAAATCACAATTACCCCATAGTACAGGTACTAAAATAACAATTACCCAATTTAAAATCAGCTGATAGCCATGGTCAAAAGCCGGTTTGAAATTGCTAGTTTAGACATGGCCAGTCAACGGGTCCGGGCCCGGCCTGGCCCGCCGGGCCGACAATCCTCAACACCTTGGCCCGTAACCGAACCGAAAAGTGCTTAGGGCCGGTTCATCGACCCGAACCGGCCCGCAAAATAAAAAAATAAAAAATAAATAAAAAAATAAAAAACACACATCTACCCGGTTTCAGCCCGCGACCCGGCCCGGACCGCTGGGACAAAAAAATAAATTGAGCCAACCGGGACCGAACCGTGGCCCTCACGGTCCAGTTAAACGAACCGGCCTTTAGGTGACCGGTTAAGGGCCGGTCCGGGTCCACGGGCCGGGTCGGCCCGTGGCCATGTCTATGCTGGTTCGATTTCTTCATTTTGGTGAACAGGAATCGGTCTAAATGAATGGAATAGTGGAATTGAATTTGATAGGAATTGAATGAGTTGAAAAATGGAATGAATATGGAAAATAAATTAAACAAGTTTTTCTATTGATGTGTTTGATATGCAGAAGGAATAAGGCATTAATGGAATGACATTGTCATTTTATATTATCACTTATCACTATTTTATAGAAAAAAATAATATTTATATTAATGTTATTTTTTATTTATGATAATAATAAAATTTATTTTTCAAAAAATATATTATATTTTAATAAATATTGTTACATTCATATGTATTATATATTAAATTAATGAAGTATATATTCATATACATATTAACTAATGCAAATATAATATTACACAACCCCTATAAGCATATTTGGTCGAATATAATTTTTTATATTATGATGTATAAGAATAAAATAAGATATTTTAAAATTATTTATATATATATATATATATATATATTTAGTTTTATTTATAAGATGGATTGAGCATGGGCGTATGAGAGACTTCGAGGCCCGAGTGAGAAGGGTAGAAACATTAACAAATTAAAAAGGCGAGGGATAGACCTAAAAAAACTTAGAAGGGTTTTCTCAAATAAATTGAAAATTTTTATTATTTAAATAGGTTGAATCTGGATTCACCCTTCTCAAATGAAACTTGGATGTACACAAATTTTGTTTCTCCCTTCAATTTCCCCTCTCAGGCGAGTGTTCCTTCTGTTTTTGCTGTGATTTTTTTTTCCCTCTTCTTTAGTTGCTTTCCCACGATTCTAGAGATTTTGGGATGGTTTTTTTCCGAGTCATACTGTCAAATACACTTTCTGACTTCAAACAGTGGGTTTGACTACTGTTAAGCCACATCACCAAAAATTGCCTAACATTATTTATTGAAGAGATAAATATGAAGACATTGTCCTCCATAATGACATGACCCTTATTTTTTGCACTTAACAGTGCATTAAAGAGATGTTCCCATTTTTGCTCTCTCGCGCTGTCTCCACCATCCAGCAGCGAGACGGCACCTCCATGGTGGTCCGAGAAAGCGCTGCCCGCCAGCTGGAGGAGCGCCGGGCTGACTGGGGTACTCGAAGCTCGTCGTCACCCTCGACATCATATGGAACCTGGCCTTCGTGCTTGTTTCTGTGGTTATGCTAATTTGCTCGGCCAGGGAAAAGACCAATGTGCTTAGGGTTTGGGTGTTCAGGTATGCTCTTCAGTGCCTAGTGCACGTAGTCCTAGTTTGGGTGGCGTACAATAGGAGGAATTTCTGGCAAGAAAAGAACTAGGTTGGCAGCGGGAGTAGAGAGGATGACATTCAGAGAGAGGAGGATGTCAGAAGCGGGCTCTTTGGCATCTCTAACGTCTCGAGGTGGGTAGATATACATATATATATATATATATATATATATATATATATATATTGTTTTTCAAATAATGTGGTGCCGATGATAGTTTTGAGGGCTGAGGATGTGTGCCTTGGCTTGTCACGTTAGTATGGAATTTTTGTAAATGTTCGTCTAGGTCTTCTGATCACTTCATACCTTATATTGCTACTGTAAGCATAGGAATATTGAAATAGGGGTATTCTGTTTATTGGGGGTGATTTGGTTTCTTAATGCTGACCAATCAGCTCTATCAATTGAGTTCTTTTGTGGGTTTCAGTCATGATGCTTTTTTGAGTCTAAAGAGTAGATGAAAGCACTCATTGGTGTGATCTGATATGGAAGTGCTTAAGGCTCATAAAATTTCTTGGCCTGAGAATTTGTGTTCTGGTAATTTTTTTTCCATTATGTTAATAACAGGATCTTGATGATGTTGTATCAAATGAATATTTGGCCATACTTGTTATGCTAAAGTCTCGTGCTTTGCCTAAGTGCACCATATGCATAAATGCAAATTGAGTAGAGGGAATGTGTGATGTATTTTATCATGAGATATGACTTCTCATAGTGAGATTGTGGAAAGGTGGAATACACTTGCAGTTATCCAGTACATTATCCAGGTAATAATAAGACTATTTTTGAGACACTCTTTTTCTGTCTATTATTTTTACAAGGAAGCTAGACATCAGGAAATGATGTGTCACATCTTTTCATTTAATATTCTGAGGGACGGACTGTAACACCCCGTTTTATTTTAAAGAATTTGCCGAATTTATTAATGAAAATCAGAGTATTTTTTTAAAAAAAAAATCCAAGTTAAAACATTTATCGAGAAACGGGCGCTACTTACTAACCACAACAAACAAATAAAAACACTAAATCAATCAATCGATAAAACCTACACATGCTCGAGCTATCAAAATAACAATCTTAATAATCATAAATTTCGGAACCATTCCCAAACGACTAGCATGAAAGCAAAGTTCAAATGAAATTCAACATAGTTCGAAAATGACGAAACAAATAATCCAAAGTGCAATAGCAAATAAAAAAATATCAAGTTTATACGGAAGCATAGGTTTTCAACACATAATGACCACCATCTCGCTCGTCCTACGCCACCGCCTCCAGCTCGTCTCAACCTAGAACAAAGGAAGAGAGAAGACAACAAGAAAATAATGGGAGTGAGCAACCAACTAGCTCACCATTATCGCACAGTTATCTCGTATAATTATTTTAAAAAGCAGTATCACAGTAAACCAATATCAGTATCCGTATGCATAGAATTCATAGCCTAAACCCCCTACCCGGCCCTATTGCAAACCTCCTATGTACATACAACAACCTTCCGGATACAACGGCATGGTTGTAACTGGAAAATTTCCCCCACCCCGAACTACTCACGGATTATGGGAGTCCACCCCGAACTACTCACGGATCATGGATGTTTTCCAGGAGACAGTGGAGATGTTTTTCCCCCCCGAAACTCACACGGATCAGGGCGTCTCCTCCCGGATACAACGGGCAGGTGACCTCTCATTGTTATGCATTCGTCAAATGCACTATCGTTCGGGACACTTAGACTAGAGTTCTCATGCATACAATAATTTTCAAAAGAAACATTACACGAAATAGTAAGTGCGATAAATATGGAATACATCATAAATGTACCCACCTGATAGCAGCAACAGTTCACAGTCACAAATCCGGAAATGAGGCGAGGTCAACACTTCTAGACACCTACATTATGTCAAGATCCTACAATCAATATCTATCTTGACTTAAATCGGAAATCACAAGACAGACCTAGTCGAACTTTGTTTCGACTAAGTAGTTCGTGAAGTCCTGTGGATGTTGGAACACTAAGACTCGGCACTAAACTCGACCAAACCACATAAGGGAGTTCACATAAATCTATCCAAGGATTGACCAAGTCAAACTCACATCAAAACGAAAAAGCAAGTCGATTCCCAATTTTCATATAAAAATCATGTTTCGAAAATAGCAATCATTAATCGCATGAAAAATAGATGGTGAAGCTACTCTACGACTTAGGCTCTGAAAATTTACACAAAATTACATCTCCCAGAAACATGTAAAACCACAAATTTTCAGCTTCAAAATCGAAATACACTATTTTATAAAATTCGAACAAGATATCGACAAAAAGGGATCATCAATTCATACTTGAACTTAATGAACGAATCAGAACTTGAAAATTTTACACCACAACGTAAAGCATGCTAAAGTCCATGTATAAAAATCTCAGCTCTGAATGCCGACTGCTACTAGTTTTAAAAATTCATACGAGCATCAGCAATTTATCGAATTTAAATCAAAACCGAATCAAAATGGACTCCAAAAATTCCCATCTTTTAAAAAAATGATTAAAAACATAAAATAGGCATCTCAGTAAAATTTCAGAATTTTACACGAAATAACAAATTTATAAAAATTCAAACAACGCTTCAGCAGATTCGATAAATAAATTATTAACCACATCAAATCAAGTCCAAAAATTCTAAAAATTTAACACAACATATAAGAGTCACAGAGGCATGACATATTTGAATTTCAGCTCATTTGATTCACGAATGAATTTTTTATGCATTTAACACTATCCCGATCAGATTTCAATTTAATTATTAAAAATAGCAAAAGGCTTCTAAAAATCACGAAATTTTTACATAAGTCTGGTAATGAACAGAAAACATCACCCTCAAATTTTCAAATCGTTTCAAGCAACGAGCTATTTTTAAAAATTTAAACACCAAAACAGCGATATAAATGCTCGACAACTTGTCAATTAATTCATAACATGAAATTTCTCGTCCGAGGCCTTTTCATAAGACCAAGGGCTCGACATTGTTCCAATTTCCACCGACTTACACGACTTTCGGAGTCTCGTTCGATTCTTGAGAAAATCGAAGAGGTCCCGAACATACGATAACACATAAAATCATAATAACACATAATCGTGCATATTCACATCTAGCAATTCACACATATTTTATGTTTTTCAATGAGCACTTCACGACAATAAGCACATAACGAAATAAATCATATACGAGTTAAACGAGACGGAAAAACGACGAGGTACCGTTTTCGGGAAAAACTCGAAAAACGAAACGAACACGAACGGGGCTCGACGGATTCTCGCGTCTCGCCGGAAGGAGAAGATGCTGCAGCTAGGTCGCCGTCGGTGTGTGCTGCTCGTCAGGGATGAACGGAGAGGTCGCCGGGAAAACGTAACAGAAGGGTCGCGAGTTGCTTCAACGGAGGAGACGAGCTGCAGGGCGCTCGACGGAAGGGGAAGGCGGCGATGGGACGCTGCTGTGCGGAGGTCGGAGGTGATGGTGGCGACGGGAGATGGTGGCAGCGATGATGATCGGACGAGGATGATGGAGGGACGACGAGGGTGATGATTGAGATGGTGATGGCCAAATTTTTTTTTTAAAGAACCGAAATATTGTTTGTAATTGTTGTTACATGCATCAATTCACTTGTAACATCCACTTTAAGGTGGAGTTGTTACTCACCTCCATTATGTATGGAGTTATAAGAGTTAATGAAGTGGAGATTAAAGGCTTCACTTAATGAATAGTTGTATTAAGACAACTATAAATTGATGCTTTGTGCATCATGAAAAGTGAACAATACGAGGAGAAAAAAGAACAAAGCAACACAAATACTATAAGTCTTTATTTAGTGCATATTCTCTTGTTGAGCCGAAACCATCACAAGGCGGCTCGAGTTTTAGAGCGTGGAGGATACCGACGACTCTAGTAGCCGTCGGATAAAAGATACGGGCAAGTTTTCGCTTCCGCTACATAAAGGTTAGTCCTATATAAATATTTATATATGTGTTATATAGAACCACTAACAGTGGTATCAGAGCCCGTTTATTCCTCCGGCGCATTTTTATAAAAGAATATATTTATGTATTTGTTACATAAAATTCATTCTCTTTTTACTATGTGTTAAATATAGAATGAGTGTCATTCATGAATGTGTGATCATGAAAATGACATAAAAAAAAATAATAATAATTAAGATGGAGGAATAATTAGGTTTTGTGGCCTAATTAATATATAAACAAAGAGTAAAAATTATTATTATTATTCTTTGGTTAATAATAATATTTGTTATTATTATGGTTTTCAAATATTTATATGGTATTATTGTTTACCATTTAAAAAAAAATCTTTTTAAAATTATCATAATATGTGTTATAATGATGAAAAGAATAAATCAATATTTTTGTAACATTGTGTCAGCTTCTTGTTATTACTTAAATTATCTAAGTAATAATTAAATAATTATTTAATATGATACATAAATATATGTTATTCATGTTATGAAACTTAAATATCTTTGTGATGTTTATATTTATTTAATACGATACATGAATATATGTTATTCATGTTATGAGACTTAAATATCTTTGTGATGTTTATATTTGTGTTCATTTGTTAAACAATAACATCAATAAATGAATATGTTTCATTGGAATAAGATTAATTAAATTATATTTATTTTTGTTTGTGTTATTTGTGATGATTATGAGCTTGGCGAAATTTTCGAACTCATGGCATAAACAAAAATAAAAGTGATAATTTAATTATATTGACCTCATGCCTAATATCCATTTTATATACTTGTAGATGACAACTAAATCTATGATTGGAGATTTGTCCTCCAACGAAAAGCTAGATGGTACCAATTACGACATCTGGCATAGGAAGATTCAGTATCTTCTTAATGAACGCGAGGTTTTGGAAACCTTGTCCACTACTGTGATTGAACCAAAGGATACTGCTAGTGTGCAGTACAAGGAAGAATTGACGACCTATGAAACGTGGTCCAAAAAGGATCGTTCTGCACGCTATACTATGTTGTATTGCATGCATAATGACATCATTGGAGAGTTTGAGAATTGCCCCACGGCTAAAGACATGTGGGACAAGCTTAAGGTCACCTTCGGGCAAACTTCGGCTACTAGGCTCCGTGCCTTGAACCTAAAGTGGATGGATTACAATATGGATCCTAAGCACTCTGTTGCCGAACATTTGTGTGTCATGAGTGCCATGATACGTGACCTAAAAGCTGCGGGACGAGATGTATCTGATGAGGAGCAAGTTCTAAATGTGGTTCGTTCACTTCCAAATGATTCTGAGAATTGGAAGAACTTCAAGCTCCTCATGGCTCATAGCGAGAACGTAAAAACTTTTTCAGAACTCGCTAAACATATTGAAATGGAAGTAGAACGTCAGAGGACGTTAGCACCTTCCAATCTTGCATTTGTTGCCCATGGTGGTCAAGCCAAGGGAAATAAACGCAAACGAGCCAAGAAATTTTCCCGTTCTTCTCAAAATTTTGGATCAAATGGCGGTTCAAAGAAACAACTTATGGCACATGGCCAAAGGGAGAAGAAAATAGCGCGTGTGAAGTGCTATAATTGTGGACATAAAGGTCATTTCGCTCGTGATTGTGCTGAGCCGAAAAAGGTACCTTCTACC